CCACATGATGATTTATTATGGACACTTCATATAGATTGTGATTACTAGTTACATAAGGTAACGCTGTATACCCAACCATTCCTAACTGTTTATTAAGTAACGTTGATTTATATTGTAGACAAAGGATTCTGGGAGAAAGTGACAATTCCTGATGTAAAATGCTAAATAAACGATTGTCCCACCACAGGAATATGAGAATTGGTTACAGCTATATTTGGATCTAAGCTAAGGTGTTTTGGAGTAATTTTACGTGTTTTAGGGGTTTATATCGACTTTCGGTAAGAATGACAGCCCAATGATTATATATACGTAAAAATACTCTGAACACCTTTGTTTAGGTCCAAATATATATAGCTGTAACACATTATCAGGTCCCTGCGGATCCCACCACAACTACTGGACACACAAACATTGTATAATCTATACCATGTCTATTATTACACATACAGTAAAAGTGGAAGTTATCGCAGTGTGGAATCGCTCGTGTTGTCTAGCATCGAGTTAATTCGCGCTGAAATATCCACATGCTAATTTTAGCTATAGAATAAATACAGATACCGGAACCTCAGCCATCAGGAAATTTCGAAAACGTGATTTGTTCAAAGAGCCACAACGCGAAAAAAATCCCTTAACAGTATATACATTGTGTGTCCAGCAGACACTGTTTACTGTGTTAATGTATGTTCTGTAATGTGTACATGTAAACAACTTAATTTGTTGTTTTGTTTCTGATCATGAGAAAAAATAAATAAAACTATATAGAACGTTACTTTTATTATTTGATTATCATTCAAAGACAACTTCAACTTGGTGACACGGTTCAAACAATAAACACACTTTACAAAGTATGTACTTTAAATTAACCAGTTCTGGAGATCTGAATTTTGAAATTCATAATCTAAGGAGTTTTACGTTTGCATTTGATGGTGAATGTGAGTCACTCATTTGATCTGTTGATTGCACCTGTTAATTTGGTTATACAGTATAAGATATATTGTAACATTCTTTCTAAGGCTCATTGTTGAGGCTTGGGGACAAAAGGTTGACTTACTACTTCGAAAAAGAAGGGATGCATACAATCCCTCAATAAACGTATGGAAAAAGAAAAAAGCGTCTACAGTGGTATCTTATTTCTGAATAAAAACAGTATCGGTTACTTTATTATATTCTATTTCAAATGCTTCCCGCCTATGATTTACCACAGCTGTCAAAAGCTTACCTTTATAACTCAACAATGTCATACCGTGATAAGTGTCTATTATTAATGTCACTCTTCTTAAAAATAGGTAAAATGTTTCCTATCGACCATGAAGATGGGGAAAATATACTATTTATAAATAGGCATGACAATGAAATTTCTTTACAATATATAAGATATTCGTTGAGTATGCCTACTAATTGTCAACAACCTTTATTGTTACCTCACCTGCCCGAAGGTCAAGTGAGCTTATTTGGCATCCGTCTTCTGTCATTTTTAGCTCACCTGGCACGAAGTGCCAAGTGAGCTTATGCCATGGCGCGGCGTCCAACGTCCGTCCGTCCGTCGTCCGTCTGTCCGTCGTCAATATTTTACTTTAAACGACTTCTTCTTAATAACCGAAAGGCCTAGGGCGCGATATTTGGCCAGAAGCAAACTTAGATAAAGGGCTACAAAGTTTGTTAAAATTAATGACCTGCACCTATTTTCAAGGTCACAGGGGTCAAATATGTCAAAAACTTTAAACATCTTCTTCTCAATAACCAAAGTGCCCAGGGAGATGATATTTAGCCATTAGCATGCTTGGGTGAAGGGCTATCAAGTTTGTTCAAATGAATGACCTTCAACTATATTCAAGGTCACAGGGGTCAATTGTATTAAAAAAAACTTTTAAACAACTTCTTCTCAATAACCAAAATGCCCTGTGTGATGATATTTGGCCAGTAGCATGCTGGGATGAAGGGCTACAAAGTTTGTTCAAATGAATGACCTTCACCCATATTCAAGGTCACAGGGGTCAAATATGTTTAAAACTTTAAACAACTTCTTCTGAATAACCAAAATGGCCAGGGTGATGATATTTGGCCAGTAGCTAGCTGAGATGAAGGGCTACAAAGTTTGTTCAAATGAATGACCTTCACCCATATTCAAGGTCACAGGGGTCAAATATGT